AATAAAATGTGATATCATCTCTTTGCTACGGCAAGTAAACAATGAAGATGAATCATTTAGAAATGTTTGAATATTTATTCAGAACAGCTCCACAGAAAATAATGAAGCCATGCAAGGAGAAACTGCCCTTCAAGTAACTTTCATTGAACATAAGACTATATAATGTGTAAGATAATTAAGATTTAGAACTGATGGAACATAAGCAATATTTGCACCCTGGGCCATGAACGCATGACAAGGAATCGAATTTCATGAAATTCGGTCAGTTATTGGCAAGTGACATGTGTGAATAAACACATGAAAAGCAATCCTTAACTTAGTAATTTATACTTTTTCTCGATGGATGCCCATAAAACCTTTTGTCAAGACTGCATAACAAACCATTAATTCGTGTGAAGTAATGCCATTTTTATCATAATATAAGTTTTGCTTTTCAATTAGGTATAATAAACTTTCTAGTTGGTCACAATAATCCTTCGTAATGCACCATTTAGTTTACTTTAGCCTATCTGTATTTGCATATTACTAGCATCTGTCATTGTGTGATAAATTCACACCACGTGATATGTTAATAAAAACCTGGATGTACATTTTTTGGGTCAGGTTTGCTTTCTCATTATTTCTAAAAGTTATTTTGTGTGTTTTTCAGTGTTTCAGGATGGTTGGACTAAATCCTTGCACTGGTCCTCTTAGCAGAAATCCATTGTTATGCAATCAAGAACAAGTACAACAGTAGGCTTTATATATATTATTCATTAAAATAGCCGTATAAAATTCAACAAAACCAAACGGAACACAAACCTTAAGGTTTATCATTGTTTCCCTGCAAGTGCAAAATTAATACTTAAGATATGATATTTAAAATATTGAATTCAATTTTTTAAAATCAAATTCTTCGTATATAACTTAGGTGACAGGAGCAGCCCTTATTGCTGTTGGAGCATGGATACAGGTCAACACTTCAGATTATGTGGACTTCTTGGGAAGCAAATATATTTTAGCACCAGTTTTGATTCTTGTTGTTGGTGTTATCGTCTCTATCCTTTCATTCTTGGGCTGTTGTGGTGCAATGAAAGAAAATTATTGTATGGTGTTGACAGTAAGTTAGATCTTGTGTCTTTACAAAATTAATTTTCTCTACTCTACCTGTTAATAGAACAGTAATTTATGTTGATACAAATTTCAGTGTTTAAGGAGTTAGGGGTAACAAAACTGATATTATATGTAATCTCAGTGATTTCCAAAAGAGGTCTGGAAGTTTGATTTAACAGCTGTGTTGAATGCAAAAATATGTAGTTGGAAATCATTTTTTTAAAGTGGTACTGAATTGTAGTAAAGAGTATCAAAGTCATAAATAAATAATTGATATAAGTTTGAAATATAAATTCTGATTTTTTGTTATGTCTGTTATGGTCAATATTATTCAGCTATCAGGTAAAACACTATATAAAAATGTTCTGTTAGTCTTCTCATAACAATAAGAAGTCATACCAAGTTATTGTCATTGGAATAAAATTATTATATCTTTATATATTAAAATAACAGTGAAATACAAAGATTCATTATTGTAACATACTGATAGCATCTAGAAGTGTTAGTAGTCAAATGGTGTATGTAATGTGATTAAACTCTGTGTAATTTGGAAACTTATCTCATATCTTGCAAATGAAGCACAATCTGTTCAATTACGTTTTTTGTAATTCAACTATTCATGTGTCTAGATTGTTCTTTGCTTTCTAACATAAACAGTTTCCAACCACTTTTCCTTTCTTGAATGGCAGTACAACCTATAGAAATCACATAAAAAAAGAGATAACTTAGATAAGTTAATTTTGTACAGTAGGTACTTATTGAAAACAAATAATAAAATCATTATGATAAATAAATGTTTACATGTATCGTTAATATCAAGCATGTAAAATATATGTATTCTTTCATCAATTTAGTCAAAGATATTTGGCCATTAATTTTAATGAACATAAAATTAAATATAAAGAACAACAACATGAGGCTCATTGATGGACCAACATTATGTTATGATGAGACTTTTAGGCTGACTTGTTCAGCTGTTAAGTCTTAATATTTGGCAAATGGCTGATTATCAACGGCTGTTATTAGTGTGACAGACTTGTAGTAAGGACTTATTATTGTCAAAGACTCATGAGGACTTGTAACATCACATTTTTTTCTCAAAGTTTAGCAATGTCACAGGCTCAGTGTTACAACTTAACTTTAAAGCTGGCATGAATACAAGTATACTTAGTCAAATCTGAGTAAATTAATCATTTAACTGTTGTATGACTTACTGGTTGCATAGAATAATACATGGAACAACTTTTGGAAGGTTTAAAGGTGTCAAGCAAACTTGTTAGTGTGAAGTTTTGGTGTTTTAACCATATGCCTGCTCTTGTGGCATGTTGATGATGTTCTGGTTACTACCATGATAAAAATTACTGGTAATAAAATTATCATCATTCTTAAAAAATATTTGGTTTATCATGTGTTTTTGAATACTTTATATTTTGTATTGTGATAAAGTTGTATGCTTACTTATTTTTTTATGCAGCAGTTATAAAATCATTCATAATTAAGTGTTTGTTATAATAAGAACATTATTAAAAACTATTGATCGTAGATTTTTTTTCACACAATTAAGCACCATTCCTTTAACAACATGAACAAGCTTTTGAAAGTATGTGCTCACAATTTATTTAAGTTTTACTTATAATGTAATATGGATATGGTTTTCCCATAGGAAAACAAAAGCTATTAGTCAGTCACTTGGGTACCTTTAACTAAACTCTTGTTTACAGAGGGATGAACCTTTTACTTTAGCTTTTGTAAACAAACAAGCAAGTTCTGTATATGCAGTAGGTCATGCTCAACTGCTCATATTACAGAGATAGGTGTTTTCTGATTTTATAAGTTTTTGTCACCTTTAATCAAGGATAAGGGAGTTTATATGTTTAAAGTAATTTTTGATTTCCAAATTTTTATTTTTATTTTAAGAGTATGCCTTAACCTCACATAACTGTTTCAGACTTTAAACTGTTGCATCAAAATGTACTTTAAACATTTGTATGACATTGTCAGCCCTCCTCAGCACTTCAAATTTTCTCATTCCAATGAGTAAACATCTGTTATCCCTATGTGCATGAGTAAGGGTCAAAGTGCATATACCATGACCTTTTACAACATGGTATTATGTATTTGATGTTAAGAGTTATCAAATTTTCATTTTACTGTCCATTGTTGATTTAGCGATAGATCGTGGTAGAGGAGAATAAATACCATATATTGAAAGAAAACTGTAAATAGGAATTTTGGAAAGTCTGGAGATTCTGCAAATACAATATGTAAACTGTATGATGGAGAAAAGTGTATTTGTTCTTCACATGAATATCAACTTGTACTCCGACTTGTCAAACTGATGTCTTCATATCACAGACATATCTGATTTTTTGTAGATATTACTAAAAGCATGCCATATATACACTCATCATACAGAGCTGTCCGTATCGCCGCTATAAACAGCTACATAGCTTTGCTATGAGTCTAGGATCGACGCTATATTTCAAAATGCATAGCAATTGTAGGTAGCGTTGCTCCATTTTATGTCTATGCAAAGCGGTACACACTATGTTTTAATAGAAAATATATATTATAATCATTTGTATACTGTATATAATTGTATTTTATATATAATTATATAGTTTTGTATATAGAAATATTATATATATATATATATATTGTTACGACTCGACTATTCTACGTTACATATTGTTGCGTCATCGAGGTCACGTGACTGGTGTGGCGCCACCTATTTTCTAGAACTATCCTGTACCTTGGCGAATGCTCTAGTATTTACTAGATATAGGGTAGCCTGGTATATAAAAGAGGGTGACAACGTGATGGGACAATATAATGTGTGTGTAGATAGTGAGTAATTGAACTGCAGTCACAGGGTATTGTTGAAGTTAACGTTCGTTGATATAGTGTTTGTTTTAGCGCGATTGTTGAAAATAAGTGTATCGTAAAGTGATATTCAGAAAGAATAAACCAGTTTTATTAAGTAAGGACTTGTGTCG